TTTGGCGCATCCCCAGTAATTATCATCAAGAGTTAACCAGTAAGAAGAAATCGATAAACGATATGTTCAGCAGAGGTTTATTAAAAGCTACTGAATCAAATGAGAACTATACATCCAAAAGAATGCTTCCAATAATCTTACTTATTTGTTAATTAATTGTTTTTCTTGATTCAATAAACATCAAAATTTGATGTGAAAGTTCTTGATTAGTACGAAAGGACAAAGTTTACAAATAGCTTTATATCGCAAATATACTTTCTGCTTTTCCAGAAACAAATTTTTGTCATTTTCTGCTATTTATAATTTTTTTTTCTGCTTTTCGGACTTCAAAAGGTGGCAGCACTGTTTTGGATATATAAATTATACTGTGTTTCACTTAAATAAGTACAATCCAAAACATTTATTGTGATATTGAATACAAATAAATCTCAGTTTTATGCAAGATAAAAAACGAACTTAGTGCCAACAAATAATATCAGCATTTCGATTTTTGCCAAGCACATCGTAATTTATGTTAAGTTGACTTTGAATCATAGCAAATTAGATAGTAACTCGAAATCGGAATTGAATGTCGTTTGTTTTATGTCAAATTTTGATCGAGATCTTATCGTATATTAATTCATACCGCGAGTAACGAATGTGATTGTTCATTAGCGTAAAACATCTTAAATTAATATCACTGATTCAATTTTATGTCAATATAATTCAATTTTCAATAAAGAACTGATGATATTACTCTGAGCATAATGTTTTCGATATTTTTTCATTGTTAAATGGTAATTAACGTTTCATCAAATATATTCTTATGGAATCCGACTATTCATATGATATGGATTATTATTTGAATGACTTCATAGATATTTACAAGGAAAACACATCATTCAATCGACATATTTACCAATGCCTTCCACATCGTAGTATAGAATAATATTAATTATTTTTCAAAACTGATCATTTTACAAAAATAAAAATAGCATATTAATCTTTGAATTATTTTGTGATTTATATAAAAATTCCCATTCAAGCACCTTTTTAGTAATGTTAAAACAGATAGAATGAGAAGAACTAAAAGCATTTCTATATAAAAACAAGTCATAATTAAATAATGATTCTACTGTAGATTTGCTCGCACCAAACATCGTTTATCATATTGATATTATCCCAATTTAACATTAAAAAACACACAATGATTATTAGCACACAAAAGTTTTGTTAAAAAAAATTAGGAAACAATCTGTTTCATGTTTTACTGATATCGACCAAAGAAAATATTCACGGTGAAGCAAAAGAACATAGCAGAAATATATGATGCGTACATAGACAAAAATCGATATTTAGTGTGTGCATCATACTAATTAGGATATAGACATATTAATCGATCATTATAAACGAGAATATTCAGAATAAATAGCGGGAAACTCAATTAAGTAGACAAAAAGAAAAAGCAGATGTATCTGATAAAGACTGAGAAATAAAATTCAGAAGACACTCGGTTATCAATATATAAAATTTATGCATTACGTTTTATTACTTTCTCTTGCTGCGTTTATTAAAGGTACTAGACTTTGTAATGGTTTTGCCATTTTTAAAAATGGATGCTATTAAAACAAAACAAAAAAAACATTTAAAGTAGTCTATTTATAATTTTTGTATAGATAAATACGAACTTGCAATAGTTGAGACGCAGTCGAACGTTTATCCACATCAACTTCAAGACATTGATCAAGAAAATCTTCAAATAGTGGTGATAGTTTTTCTCGGCCTACTATCTCTGGTTTTCCATTAGTAGCAATTAGATAAAGAGCCTAAAATCATTTAAAAGAAGAAAAAAACCTTCTAATTTAAATTTGATTCAATATTATCTCACTCTTAATGGACTTTCATTCAGATATGGTGGCTCTCCTATAAAAATCATATCAATTAAAATCATGAATACAAAACAAAAATCTCTAAATAACTATTTACCTTCTATCATTTCAATAGCCATGATACCTAAGCTCCCTATAATTAAAACAAAAAACATTTTTGTTGTTTGTTAAATATTTCATTTTCGACATCATACATATATCAACTTTTGGTCCATACTGTTTTCGTGTGACTACCTCTGGTGCCATCCTACATAGAAAATATTTCGTAGTTAGTATTTTTTCAAAACTTTTGTAATCTAAATCTTACCAATAAGGTGTTCCAACCATTGTTTGTCGTTTTGTTTGATCTTGAGTAATTTGTGCACAAAATCCAAAATCAGTTAATTCTATATAAAAAAACAATTGTATTCATACAAATATATATATATATATATATGCAATAATTCTCATGTGAACAGATGAAAATAAAATTGAATACTTACTGACATTTCCTTCATTTCCCAAGAGGATATTATCACTTTTAATATCTCGATGTATAACATGATTTTTATGAAGAAATTCTAAAGCTTGTAAAACTTCTCGGCAAACTGCTGCTATGTGTCCTTCTTCCATTATAGTTTCTGTAACAACATCAGTTAGTGATCCACCGGGAAGATATTCCATTACAACCTAAATAGAATTTCAATGATAAAAAGATACTCTTTCTTTGTTCTTTGGCATTTTCTTTACCCAAAGCTCCTCATCAACTAGATATGAATCTTTATAATTGACAATGTTAATATGGCGATTATGTTTCATAACAGCTATTTCATTAATAATCAATTCTTTTTTTGGTTGATTAGCTAAATTCATTTGTTTAATAGCAACTTCTTCTCCAGTTGCTAATTCATAGGCTAATAGTACTGTTCCACTTGCTCTGCAAAAAGAAAAGAAAAGACAGTAAAATATATTTGAATACGAAAGTTTCTATTGATTAAAAAAAAGTAATTTACCCTTGTCCAATTTTATCTTTACTCTTATATTTTTTATTTGGATCGCCATGAGAAATAATTAATCTTAGTCTTGCATAAATCTCTTCATCACTCAATTGTTTACGTTTTGTTCTATCAATGTCTGTGGGTATAGATGAATGGGATTTATTACTATCATCATCAATTGGTCTTGTATACTAAAAAGAAAAACCAAATATTTCGTTGTCACTATTCTCTAAGTAATATATTTTGACGTAGGTATTGACATACAACGCTTTTAGTTTTTTCTGGTCTCGTAGCAATCGGTGGTGGCATTTCGTCATTATCATGACGATTTTTAATTCCATTTGATATTTGTTCTTGTGACTATGGAGAAAATATGTTTTTTTTTTCTGATTGAAAAAAATGTTTTATTATTACCGATGTTGATCTATCAGAAACAAGAATGACTGTTTGCCGAAATTTATCCGCTAAATCACCGGATATCGGTGGTGTTAAATCTAAAATAATCATCAGTTTGACCTCTCAGTTAACTATGATTTGAAAATGTATACTTTTACAGCTTGAATACATAAATTTTGATTCTCTTTTATGTGCAGAATGTTGATAAAAATCTAGTGCATCGATAACTGCTTGTGGATTTTGTTTTTGTTCTTGTTTTGTTATTTTAGAACTTTGTAATAAATTAGACCATAGTTCAGGCATACCATCGAATTCACCTGTAGATGGATTGTATGTGACATGTATAGGATGATTAAAATTTGTTGGACGTGATATTGTTAATTTTGATGGATCTTTTTTTGACCATTCTATAAGATTGTCAAGTATTAAAATGACATGAAAAATCGATGAATAAGTAGATATTATTTACCTTTACTAGTTGCTTTTTTCTTTTTATTTGATTCTTCATCTGGTAGACGAGGTAAAGGTTTCAATTCGAGATTTGATGTCGAACTAGAAAAGAAACATAATAAGATAGTAAAATTACTTCATCTTTATCAATGAAGATGTATATTTACCCTGAGATGGAATCAATGCGTACAGGCGGTGGTGGTGGCCGCTGCTCATCCATCATCAATTTCTAAAATAAATTTGCAAAAAAAGCAAGACTCAAAACATTACAATGATTTATCATTAGCTACATTCATATACTATTTCGTATTGTACATTCAACAGCAGACATCACTCAGAAGGACATGTTCGGCTTTTCCATTTGTTTATTCAAATAGCCAATCGATCACAGGTCCGATTTCTGTATTCATCCAGTATTGATATTACTCGAAGAAAGTTATCACTTAAGAATATCTTAGTTTTCATAGATACATAAACGTTCGATAGGTGTAACTAAATTTTTAGATAAAACTTCAACACTATATTCGATGTGAAAAAAACGTCAAGATATACGGTTTGTATTTGTGACCAGATGAAATGACAATCAAACAGATGATATTTTCGAGTAGTCTTTCAAAATTTCTTAGGGTTTTGATTAATTTTTTAATTATAAGTATAAAGAAGCCGAGAAAACAATAGAAATTACCTCAGTAAGTTACATGAAACTGATCATCAATGGTGTGAGTGAAAGTGACATCTGTTCTGAGTCGCTATTGTGTAATAACTGTGTCTCTTTCTCCTTTCGTAAACATTGGATGATCTGACAGCTACTTCCTTTTTCTTTTGGTGATTTCACTAATTTTTATATCGTTCATTTGCAAAGTCTGCCTTCTTATGTGTACTAATGACAAAAAGAACTCAACGATTTCCATATATATTGTAATCTTCACACTTCGATATTTTTTTCATAGTCAAGTATGTCACTTAATTAAGAACTATTCTAAACAGAACATTCATCTTAACTTTCATCGACTAATATAAATCATATTTTACTTGTACTTTCATCGATACACTCAAAGAAAAGCCTCGAAAAAAGAAAAAAAACGATATGCATCGTTAGTTTTTCGTTCCTACATTGTCGCAGTATATTTTCTTCATTTATTCACAGTTTTTGTTGATTCCTTATCAGTGTGAATTCTCTTCGACCTTTTCATTCCTATGCAACGAATATCTCTACGAAGACAACAGCTTGATAATCAAAATAACAAACGATGGTCAACATCCCTTATCGATAATAATGATCAAGAAGAACAAATATCATGTCAATCATCATGTTTAACATTGCTCACTAATAAACTTGGAATACCACAAGAAAAAGCGTTAGTAAAAACGACTTATTTATTTTCTTTTTCTTTCAATACATCTCATTGCTTTAGAGAACGTGCATGTGTAGCCACTGGTTTTCGTTCAGTTCAAGCTGCTACTGATTGGTAAGAGGTAAACATTCAAAATGGTAAATGCCATTGTTTTTCTTTTCTTATCTTAGGCTTCTTCAAAGATGTAGTGATGATAGATTGATCCGAACTGAATTTATTATACTTCTTTGTCCTGATAAACAGCTTCATGAAGAGATTCGAACATTTAATGGTGAACTATTTCGTTATCTTGCCAAGGGAACTACTTTATTAAATGATCGTCAATATTTGCGTGCTTTTAAATTATCTAGTTTTTTTCATGTAAATATTTGTAAGGATACATTTATTAGTAAATAACTTTTGATTATATTTCATTAGATACCTGATAGACACGTTCATACATTTCATAAAGTATTTGATTCTGTTATGGAACAATATCACAGGTTATTTAAACAATTATTACGCGTGGTTTTATATACAACAAATGATTATCTTATGCTTATACCTGATACTGAAACTAAAAATATTGTTCAAAATATTTTCGATATGTTGAAACAACAATTTGAAAAAATAGGTATATTTAACTAAAGTAAAATTTATTTCAAACGTTAATTTATGCTTATTTTTAGTACCAACTGTTTCAATATTACCTGCAAAGAAATTAGCACATTTGACTCTTACTCATGGTTTGTCAACTTTATTTAATCTGCCTACTGATCAACGAGCATCACTATTACAATTTGCGCGACTTTACTTTGATCTTGATCGTCCTGTAAATTGGAGTCTTCGATTATATTCACGTGAAAAATCTTCTATGAATGAGGTTAGTCCTTTTATATTTGATTTTTCTTGACAGAATCAAATAAAAACAATTTCTTCCTTTTTTTTGTTAGACTGTATATCGAGTTGTTTCATCAACAAAAGAGACAACTATTAACAAATGTCTTTTATTGAAAGCGAATGATCTGTTTATGGTACTTGATAACGGTCGAATAGGCGAACAAGAAAATGTCTTTGGTGAGTAAGCTTTAATTAAGTTGTCTTTTGTCTTCTTTTCTGTTAGCTATATATCTTCGCTTCTCGCTCTTTCGCTTTCTTCTCTATCATCTATCAAGAGAAAGAATAAGAATAAGAATATTTCATCATGCATCTATGTGTTTGTGTGGCCTTTGAGAGACTCTTCTCTTTCTCTCTTACATGCGTATAAAATGTTCTTCGTTTCTCTAACAACGCACAAGACACAGTCACCTTCGATGCTTCTTTGCTGAATGTGCGTTGCACGCACACGAGAGAACGAAGAGAGAGCGAGAGAGAGGGAGAACAGCAAATGACGAGCACACACAAGCTGCATCATAGCACAACAAGCGAGTAGTAATAGTGGTAGTAGCCGTAAGAGTAAGAGTAATAGTTAAAGTAGAGTGCTGCTAGTAACGTCGACTCATTTTTTCTTTCTTGCTTTTGAGTGAAGCGCGGGTGAGTGTCGCGACGGCAATATTGAGGTTGTGCGCTTCAAGATAGAAGAAGACGAGTTCTAGATAATGCTGGATATGCTTTCGCGAGATGCGACAACGAATTCACCAACAATAAATGGCACTTCATCAACAAAGCCAGTTCGACGTTTTCATCAACGTGCATTGATTTGGGACTTGGAAGAGACACGAGCTTTATTAGATTTACTTAAAGACGAAAGAATATTTAAAGCTATTGAAAGTGTTCGAACACGTGAAATCTATCATGAAATTGCTGAACGTCTGAGACAAGCTGGTTTTAATCGTGACTGGAATCAAATACGCGGTCGCGTCAAAAATTTAAAGTTTTCATATAAAAAAGCTCGTGCTTTACATGAAGAACATGGCCAATCTACATTAACGTGCCGTTTCTATGATGATCTTCATTACTTATTTGGTCATAAATATAAAAGACAACGAAGTAAGAAACGTTCGTTACAACAACAGCATCAACAAAAATTACAAACTAATATAAAGACAGAGAATGAAGAAGGAGAAATCATTTCAAATATAAATAATAATGAACCCGATGATATTACTGATGATGAGGAGGAGGTAAAATAGTTTTATTATTCAATAGAATAGTATTTTATTTTATTCTCAGTCGATGAATGAGGATGATGAACAACAAAATTTATATGATGATGTTTCGCCTGATTACATTCAACGACCAGAAGATCCATACCCAATGCTTCAATCGACTCGAACTAATTCGACTATAAATCAAACCGAAGATTCACATGCAAATCATCCCAATAAAATCAGCGAAGATCAAGAACAATTAAGAACAGATGAAATGGATTTTTATATTAAATCTATGCCACCGTATAAACATCAAGCATATCTTATTGATGACGTTCTTCAATCGGTTTTTAATAAATTTCTTGTTGCACAACAACAATCTGAGCAACGTTTTATGTCATTTATTAATGAGCAAAGACGCAATGAACAAGAACGTGAAGAAAGAATTCATAGAGAACAACGACAACATCAGTTAGAACTTGTGCAACTGATTATCAATCAAGGTAGACGAAGATATTCTACCAAATATCAAATAAACTATGATTCGACAACTAAGATAAATTATTAGAAAATATTAGTTTCCAAAGAAATTTATTATTTTTATATTAAGTAATTTAATATGTGAATTATATTTTTATTTCTAGGTCGCTCTCATACAACAGGCGAAGAAGGTTTATGCGCTTTGAAAAATTTAAGGAAAACATCTGAAACAGATTCATGGACTTTACAAAAGTAAATTTTGATCTATAAATTCCATTTTATGTTTTATGTTATTTTTCTCTATTCGAGATCGTCATCGTTAGTAAATGAAAATTCTTCAACAAATCTAATTGATCTTTCAGAAACCGATATTTCACCATCAACTGATGAAAAAGATTCCAATAATCAAAGTGAAGTTCGAAATTTTGCAAGAAAAATAGCAGTAATTCCACGATTGAATCAAACAGTACATATTTTTATATCTTTAATTTTTATTTATTTCAAATAAATTATTGTTTAGAATGGTAGATTAGATGTATTATCGTCTACATCAAATCCAGGTTTAATTCGTCTATTTTGTATTCGTCATGGTGAACGAGTTGATTTTGCATTTGGTTCGTCTTGGCCAGAATTAGCCTTTGACAAAGCTGGTATTACCATTTTAATTCTTTTTAACATTTGTTTGTTTAAAATTACACTCATTTGACTATTCAAGGAAATTATCAGCGATTGAATTTAAATATGCCATTATCTTTACCACGTCGTCGTAACCCGTTTCGAGATTTTATTGGCGATTCACCTATCACTGAGATTGGTGTGAGTCAAGCTCGATTAACTGGTGAAGCATTAGCTGCTAATGAGTCTCTTGCACAATATTGTTATTCATCACCAGCATTTCGATGTATTCAAACGGCACATTATATTCTTCAAGGTCTAGTTTTCTATCAATGTAATCAAAACAACAAATTTGAATTTATTTCAGGTATGGGAATCGAAGATCGAGTGAAAATTCGTGTGGAACCTGGTTTGTTTGAATTTTTGGGTTGGTATGAACGTGGTTTACCAACATTTTTTAATTCATCTGATATGAATATTAATGAAGAAGAAGAAACACATTTATACAATATTGATAAAAACTATCGACCGATTATTTCATTAGAAAAACTATCTCGAGATGAAAAATATATTGATTATTACAATCGATCATTCAAAGTTACACAACAAATAACTGATAAACATAAATTGACTGGTAGATAAATCAAAAACAAAATAGAGAATTTATTTTTCTTTAAAATCATTAATTTTTTCAGGAGCAAATATATTTTTCATTGGTCATGCAGCAACACTTGAAGTTTGCACACGTCAATTATGTTTACTTCCACCTCGATCTTATTCAGATTTTAATGGTGTTATTAGAAAAGTTTCTTATTTAGGGTTACAACTGTGTGAAAGAAATCCATCAGATGGGCAATGGACATTGAAAACACCGCCTATACCACCATTACAACATGCAAATAATGTTTCATTCGATTGGCAAACAATGAAATAAACTAGTTGTTTTTTGTTATCCCCTGTAATTGATCACACTGCTTCTGTCCGTTGTTTCTTTTTTACTTGATATTTTTACAGAGTAAATGAAAACAGTGAGTTCTATTTAGTAAATTTTAGATCGAATGTATCATGAAAATTTGAAAGATTGCAATTCATCAACAGATTCAATTCATACGCCATTAATTGATGATACTTTGAATAAATTCCAAAGGATGGAACAAGATTCTTGTAAGTGATAGCACTTGCTTTTATTTTATTTTCTTTCACATAAGATTATCGAGCATAACTTTGTGTTTATGTTTTATATCTTAGCTACTAATGATGAAAACACTCAAATATTAATTGATTCAAATAATGAAGAAAATTTAAGTTCTAGTGAAGCTAGCGAAGAAGAAGAAGAAGACAATGAGGATGAAGAAAATAGTCCTGCTGGAAATTATTTTGAAAAAAGTAATATTATTTATTGAAAAACAAAACAAAAAGTTAAAATCACAAGAAAACTTTAGATACTATTCTACAATCATTAAATCAATCTAATTGTTCAAACACTTTAAATAATCTATTGAGCAGAACTCCGTATATTTTAACATTCATGATTCTTTCTTTTCATATTTTTATTCTTTTCTTTTAAGCAATGCTAATGTCACGTTGTATCAAGCGGAAAATATAGTAGAAACAATTCAAATGAATAATGATTCTATGCACGCGCAAACAATGGCTATTCTCGCTGCTAAATATCAGTAAGTTATTAAAGAAACCCGTTGAAAGTTATATGCAATGAAAAATCTAAATAAATATTAGCTGGAATCAAGTTTGATTTTCTGTTCAAAAGAGTAGTTATCAAGAATATTAATCATATGTATTCGAGTTCTAATAATATACTTACAAGCATTTCAATAATATTACAAATCTAGTATGCATTCTGTAAAAATTCGAGGAATTAATTTCGTATGAATAATTTCTTTTGTAATGCAACGAAAATTCTTGTCAAACTTTCTAAAAAAAATTTATATTCGATTGGAGAAAAATGAGCTGATTTCTACTTTGTTAAGTACCTAATAAATTGACTATAGAAACAAAGGCTTATTCTGTTGAAATATCATGCAAGCTGTGATTGTTTTAATGGAAAAAAATATATCAAAGTTTAATTATAATGAATCGATTCTTATTTTTGCGCAAGAATATAAATATAACTTATACAGTAGATTTGAAAAAAGAATGCTCTCGTCAAAATTAGTCTGCAAGGGAATTTTCTTCGACAGAAACTTTACAAGAATAAAACAACTGTTCTTACTATCTTCATTACATTCATATTCAAGAGCTTTTATTTAGCAGTGAAAAAAAAGAATTTGTTTTTTATTTTACCATCATATATTCAAATTCTGTTGAATTTGTAATTAAATACGATAAAGTACAGCTATTTTTATCGATTTAAAGCCAAGACAATAAACATGAAAAAATATCTAGTTGATAAAAAATATTAAGAATCCTTTTTTGCAACAATCAAAATGAAAAATTAGATCTATTAATTCCGCGCAGTGAGAAACGTTTCTACGATTGACCTTTTGTAACAGAATCTAATTTTCAATTAGCAATACAGTTTATTTATTAATGATGATGATATAAATCAAATATTTCTGTTTTCTTCTCGATAGGCCTACTAAATCTGTTAATCATACAGTAAGTTCTTGTTTTATTTCTAATATACATTGATCCATTTGATTTATCTTTTTGATAGCCAAGTAGAAGTGAAATTTTATCTTTTATTGGCCCTTGCCCGTTATATTCTTTGGCATCTTCATTTGGTCTTGATATGTGCCATGGCCTTTCAAATTTTCCATGTCGTGATATATTTGCTGGTGGTCGAGGTTCGAAGTTGGCTTCTCCACTTTGGCAACATTTAACATTATCTCATAATTTTAATCTTTCATCGTCATCTATTATTATATCGCATCTTCTTCTTCTTGGTTATTCATCTCCAAGTCCAATATTATTTAATTCACAGACCATCAAAAATGTTCTTCGTACAACACCACGTTATTCGCTAATTAAAAGATGCCCTCTAACCAATTACGGTGTTTATGGTATTCATTTTGAACATGGTACACGTTTATGTTCTGGTTATACATATAATACAAATATTTTTTCACATTTAATATCATTTCATAATATGACAAATAATGCATCATTACGTTTATCACGTGCTATTGCCTTTAATAATAAGCAATTTAAATTTGAATTCAATGAAACTATTGTTAGTGAATACGTAAAATGTCCTTTGCTAAAATCATATCGAATAAAACGAATTTCTCGACCGATTAATCATAAATTTCATTTATGTAAACAATTTACTCAAAACAAACCGGTGAAAAATAGTTAAATTAATTTTATTATTCTCACTCGTCAGATAGACAAAACGAATGATATTCTTTCTATTAACCAGCTGTGATTATCAATGAAGTGTATATTTGTGGTTTTTATTTATTTTAAACACGATAAATTATTTTTGTTTTTTGAAAACGAACTAAAAAGACGATAAAAAATAAAATAAAATTGATTGAAATTATTTTGCTAACTTGATTTCAGTTTGGGCACCTATGTTCAATCATTAATTTATTTTCTACAATATTGTTAATGTTAAACAGATGAAAACAAACGTATTTTATTCTAGTTAATAATACGTAACAATGTAAAATTTTATTTTATTTTTTATGCTTCCAATTAGCACGTTGATGCTAATATTATTATTGAACTGCCTATTAATAACTTCAGTACCGTTATAAAACAATCTTATTGAGAAAGATAAAGAGTTCGTGTCAAATTAAAAAAAAAACCTTTTCCTACTAAGTATTTATTTTTAGAATGTCAGAGAAGAAGAAATGCTAATCTATGTTATAATAGTTACTACCTATACATATCAGCAAGTAACAATAGCACTCGTTGTTGAACTACAAAAATAGTTAGAATAGAATATTATGTTTTCGAAAAGCGAGGATTTATTTTATATGAAATTCTCAAGAATACATCACAACGAAGAAGAGAAAATTTGATTATTATTCTAAACGAATTAAAAATCTTGTGTGTAGATATCAGAAGAACAGCTGTGCATTATAATTATTATAATTTCATCCGCTTTCTGATAATACTATGGCATGTCATCAAAACCATATCAATTTTTCTTTCACATAATCCGCAGAAAAAAATACAACATTCTTTATGAAATCAAACATTTCATGATGAAAATTTACTGATATTTTGTGTCTTTCAATCAGATTATCCAATGGAAAACAGTAAAATGAACTCTATAAATGTATTGTTTCCGTTCAACGAAAATGCCGTTCACTTGCTTTTTTATTTAATAAAACGTAAGATTTATTACTTGAATTGAATGATATAGAATAGCGTTAAAAAAGCAATTGTTCAAGGTGTTCCCGTGTAAGGATGTCGAGTAAGCCATGGAGGATCTGCTCTTTCTCTTATGTCACGAACGAGCGTATGTCGTAGTACATCAACAAGCTGAGGATCTCGATATGTATGTTGATTCTTTGGTGGACGATAACATGGAGGCGTATACTCAGGTGGTTCTTGATAAGTCATACGGTAGAGAACAGCACCCCATGACCAAACATCTGATTTTGATGTATTTACTGCAACATGATGTCTTGGAGCCATTGTTACTTCTGGTGCCGAATATAACCAAGTACCATTACTTCCAACCCTACAAATAATAATAGAGGCTTTATTTGTATGTATCGAACAATATGCTTTTGTTGTATATTATATTTTCTTTGAATATTTAATGAAAGAAATAGTCCTCTATTATGTTTACCTATGTCGGTATGCTTTTTGAGCGATACCAAGATCACCCAATTTGATTCTATTACCAGGAAATACTATAAGATTTTGAGGCTTAATATCAAGATGTACCTAATGAGAATTAGAAGGAAATCTTAACGTGCCAAAAAAATCAAAATCAGTTAGATTACAATATTATTATCATGAAGAACCATTGCAATGCTGACTAATTGTCGCCATATTATTTTTCTTTCTGCATTTGAGAGGCGAGGTTGCGTTTTCAATCTCTTTTCTAAATCATGTTGACCAAGTTCCATAACAAGAAAAGCCAGACCTGATTGTCTATGAAAGTCAAAATCAAACATGCGTACAACATGATTAGATGCTCTTGATAAACGCTTTGACATTTCAATTTCAGTAAGAATTGATTCGGCAAGCATCTCTCCATCTGCACTACTCCATGTGACAAGTGACACTACTTTGATAGCTACCGGTTTATCTATAAGAAAGAAAGTTTTGTTAGTACCACTGAAAATGTCTGAACTTGCGGTCTGAAATACGACGAGCAGAATAAACCGAACCAAAGGCACCGGCACCAAGCTCTGCATGAAATTTATATTGATCTTTATTGACAGGAACTAATCGACGTTCCATTACTACTGTTTGAATTGTATAACGCCAATCGCTAGGTAGAGATGCTGGTGGATTTCCAGCGCCTATTTTTAGAAAACAAAGTAATTTCATTATCGAAATGTTCCTTTTAATAATATCAAAACAATGTCGTACCAGGAACCATTAGTCCAGATTCTTCCTGACCCATAAGTGTAATACTAAAAACAGAACAACATAAAGCTTATGAAAAATAGCGATTTAGCAAGCGTGAAAAATAATGATTTAGCAAACATGAAAAATAATGATGCAGCCAATAGGGATGCAATAGGACGACGAGCGAGGCAATATGAAGAAGTCGATAAGGTAAGAGAAAAACGTGACCGGAGAGCAAAAAACAAAATCATCGTTCCTATTTGTCATGATGTTATCCGATGCAATTAGCGTACATACTTCTCATGACTACAGACTATTGGAGAACAAAAACACTTCTTACGCACAAAGATTTATCATGAGCTGTGAAATTTGGTCTAAAATGTATATTAATATTTAATTAAATGCCGAGTAATCTGATACAGATTTTACTGAACTTCTTAATATGTATAAATTACTGTATTAAAATTGAAATGAATTCGCTAGATATTTATAATACTGTTAAGTTATTTAATTGAATAAATTACAGATTCCACATAGTTCATTATATAGAAGTTCCAGTTCAAGATTCAATGTTCAATTTTTTATATTAATTCTGATTGTCTTGTTTTGGAATGATTTCATACATTTTGATTGTTTGTTTATTTCTCATTTGTAATATACAATTCGTATTATGAATTTTAAATAGAAAATTTTCATCTGTTTCTCAAATATTTTACATTAGAAAATATATTTATTTACTTTGTATATGAGTTGTGTTTTTTCTTTTAAATTTTCTTTGACAAAAAGTAGAAATATCGACTCGTCTTTTTCAAAATGAAAATATCATGAATATTATGTTTTTATCATGTATGCAATGATGATTGTTGAGTCAAATTATGAAAACAGAACGACAAATAATAATCGTGCATAATTGTAAAAGTTACATTTTGAGTTACTAGTATTAATTTTCTGTGATGTTTGATGGTGAGCATTTGAAATAGTAACCGATCATGTTTATATACAAATGAAAATAAAAAATGTTGTTTTTCATCGTAAATTTTCAAATGGATGACGAAGATGATGAACTGGTTGGTTTTTAAAGAGAAGAAAATATTTCTAAATAGCATGACAAAATTTTGCATTTTTTTTAGAATATCGTCCGTAAACAAAGCACTTTTACCTGATATGTCTATAAAATGCTTCATTTAGATTAGTTTCGAAAATTTCACAGTAGAAATGAAAGAAACATCAACGGTTGATTACTTTTATCTAGAAATAATACACATATTTGAAAATGTGGCATAGAGTAGTTGGAAATTTTTTGCTATTTTCGAATATTTATTCATCGATAAAACATTTTACTAATCTATTGATAGTAAATATTCGAAGTAGTCCTCATCAATTCCGATACTAATTTTCATCCAATATAATCTATTGCTGAGAAATCTTTTGATATTTGCGAATCGATGCTGTATAGAATTCCTTTATTATTACTTGAGCTAATTTTGTAACATATAAATGCGTATCAAAACTAGGTTTTAGACAACTAAATAACCAAAATTTTGAATGCGTAAACACAGAAGTTCTTGATTTAAGTCACTTTATTGTACTTTGAACTATTCTAAAGTATTGCTCTATTAATTTTAAGTTGATTTTCTGTAACTTTAAAGTGCTTTGTTGAATTTGAAGCTCGTTGTTTTCTTCTTGTATTAATACGGTCATAATTAAGTACTCACTGTTGTATGAAATTGATTCAATTTAGTATAAAGAGTGTTCGGTATCTCTTCAATAAAAAAAATTATTTGAGTCTGATTGAACACAATGTGTATCGATAATTTATCTTGAAGATATTTGACGGCCACTGCAATTATTTATATTTATGTCAAAAGTCTATACTGAAAACTTCAATGTTAATATGCTTCGTTCACTGATAAGACTACTTCGTGAAAAATCGGTCCATCATTTAATTGCTAGTCATACACATTAGAAGATACATACAGCACCAGAAAAATATCTTCTACTGATAATTGTAAAAATATCGTGGTGTGAAAGATTTGCTCTATTAGATTAAAGCAGAAATAGCATATATGAATTATTAACTGAATAAGCCTTCGATCAATCTTAATCTGATTAAATCAAATGGTATATTTACACCCACACCTACATTTAATCTACTGGTTGGAACTGTAAAAGTACTTCAATAATGCTACTAAATCATTTTTATTGATCGCACTATTAATGAGTAATCAAAGATCAATCATTCAATATATTTTCGTAACGTTGATGTTTCGCTTCGAATATTTTTTATGATGAAATATACATTTCATAATTATTCTAATTGAAGAAGTAAATTACTTTTTTAACTGCAAATATTCAATGTGTTCAATCGATTTTCTTCAAAGAATAATCGTTTTTTCTACAAGAATCTAGATTAGATTAAATATTTTATTTCTTGTTTTTCTACGTAGTTAAAAGATATTGAAACTATTTCGAGTGATTATTTCATTGGAATGTGCTGTTAGATAACGGTTTGTTTAGCTTTAAAGTCTTTTATCTGAATTTAAATTGAATTTTATGTAAAATCTGACATAGATGTCTGATTGACGCTAGATCTTTCCATAGAATAAGCAAATTACATATTGATTAGGAATACTGTTTGTAAACAAATATTTACGTAGGTGTTTTTCAGTTACCTGAATTACAGGAAAAAAAAGCAAAACAAAATAGGTAATATATGGAGTGAAATTATAACATCAGCACTAGTACTGAGAGAGAGAGAGAGAGAGAGAGAGAGAGAGAAAAACAAAGAAATCAGTGTGAATCCAATTCGATGGATGTAAAAGTACTTTTATGCTTAATGGATGAATGTAAACTTGTAGAAGAAAATAATCTTTAGCAGATTTTGACAAGTTTTACAAAACAGTTGAATAGATTCAATGCTTACATGTATAGGTTCTCCTATAAAAACTCAACATAGAATTAATTTATTATCGTAGCCACAATAAAAAAAACATATCAAGCATCTATTTATCGACATTTTATTTAAAATTACTGTGAATGTTTCACTGATTGAGAAAGATAGGCCATCTTCTTTTGTGCCCATGATGATTTCATTGCATCATAGAAAGTAACTGTAAGAGGTTGATTTGAAATTTGAAATTTGTCCGCATTTTTCACCACATTGACAGCTTCTTCAATACTTGTATAATACAGAAATGCATATCTATATATTCAAAAACAAAACATTGGTTAGCATATTTGTAAGTCTTTCTCAGTATCAATAATGAAATATTTCTTTGTAAAAATATGATAAAGATCAGATAAGTGTAAAAATAAATCATTTTATAATAAAATTAAGATTCAAAGCAATTTCATCTTACTTTAACATATACAGGGGTCTCATACATTCTATTGAAGAAGAATTTCAAATTTCAGTGTCCTCTGTAGAAAATTTTAATAAAATTGCTCCGATTTCAAATTTTCTTGAAATATACGTATATATTTCTTGCAGTTTTATATCAGTGAATCAAGACTTAATATGAAGACTTACTTATAAATATGTCTACGTTCCTTTTTACATCGATCAAATATCATGAATTTTAGATTAATCAATTAAATTACAATTCATGACAGTCAAATTCACAGTATGTATTTATGTGAATAATGGAGTCATAATAGAAAAGAAGCTTGACTCTTCTTGTTGCCAGTTTCAAATTCTTAATCGGTAACTGATAGTACCTATCTATCTTTCACTTGATTATCTACTTTTTGACTTATTTAATCCATCGAATAAAAGATAAGCAGTCTTAGTTGTAAGTATCAATCAAATGATAAATTATATAGATACTTCGAAGCGAATTTATATCAGTATAATGAAAAAATAGACTTCTATATTAATACTCACAAAACAATATCTGTTTCAAAGAAGACTTCGTTTTTAGTCCTTATTCTAATCGATTGCTCATTTTAATTATTTTCTGATTTGTTCCTTTTGGATATAAGTGAAAGCACAATGAGCGAACATTCGAAACTTGACGTGGAGAAAAATCAACAAACTATTGACCTAGCATAATGAAAAACAAGTGATACTTGCCCATACAATACTTTATGCTTAGTTCTTGGTGCTAAATGTGGTCTTCGTTGGTCAACAATACGTGCTGGAATGAATTTCATTGAGTGACAACCAATAAACAAGTTACGTAAATCCGTTTCTGTAACATCTATAGGTACTCCTTTGACCATAACATTCCATACATCAGCATTTCGATATATTCTAGAAAGTTGAAAATCTTCCTTCATAAATTCGACGTAGCAATTAGAACCAAAAACATGACTATTAATAGGTCGTCTTAGATTATACTCAGCATCTCTGCGTTTACGATGCAGAACAAATGCGTAGCTGTAAAGAAAAACAAAATATCGATTGCGAAAAAGTATTAAAATCCCTACTAACATACTTAAGATGTGACGACATGTAACTACGTTTGATTGTGTCTTTCGTACAGCCGACAAAATGACGCCGTATGTCGCCTGAAGTCACGTTATTTCTCATATTGTGAATTACTAAAGTTTTGTAGGAATTTCTGTTTTTTTTCGTGCGTTTATTTTTAAACGCTTTTGAATTTTCAATGCTTTTGACTGTAGTACTACTATGCAATGATGATAGAGAACTCTAAATGAAAAAAAAACGGAATTTGACTTAATACGTACAACATTTTATCTTGTCTAAATTAGTTATACTGTGAGATAACCAATAAAAGTAGCATGGTTATGTTCTCAAATGTCAACACCAGAGTTCGAATTGGCTTAGTATTGACGAATTTTAGGTCTTTGTAAAACTACAGAAATTATTTATCGTGTTCAAATTAATTTAGTTTATTAAAATTTGCTTTTTTGAATAAGAATATTGTATAGAAAATATATTACGAGTTTCAAATTAAAATTTTCGATGAAAAAATATACATAAGTATGCAGTTAAAAAATAAATGACTATTGAAGCTTATAACAGCTATTCTTGGAATATAACTAAATCCTGAAATTTCAACGAAACGGATATATAACTACTTTCATTATAATAAATGATAATATTTTGCGTTTTAAGCAATGGTACAAAGAATTTAGCTTTGCGCTCAAGTGAAAGTAAAAATTATTTATTTGTGCCGAAGTGGACGTTGAAGTGGATGTATATCTCATAAATATCTATATTTTTACTTAGAAGAATATTAGACTTTTCAGCGCATATATCCATGTCCTACTTTGATTACACTAGACTGATATAATCAACAAAAACATGATATTCTATTCCATTGATTTGAACTTTTTGTTTTAAAAAAAGATTATAGAATATAACCGAGCCTGTGTGATACATAGAGTCCAAAGTTTTTTTTGTCATACAGTGAATTTATCATCTATTTTCATTTGAAATATGGGTTAACAAAGTTTGAAAAAAAGAAATCAATACTCCAAGAGTCTCTAATATAATTTTACACATTTTATAATTGAAAATTTTTAAAATCTAAACGAATCATAGTTGCTGAAAGAAGTAAAATATATTCTAAAACTCAAATAAGGAATTTTTTCATAAAGCTTTGTTTTTCTAAGAAATTCTCAACTTTTAATTGATAATTAGTCAATATACGTACCATGACATTTGTGTGGTCATTAATAAGTTCTTCAGTTTGACATTGTGTCGACGTAATAGTACTTGGTGGGGTAGCTAATAGATCTATAATTTCTTGAAGAGATAAACAGCGAGGTTCGCTTGTGCTCGCTTCCATTATATCTTCATAGAAATCTTTTGGTGGTGAGAGTGCGTAAAAATCATTGATTGATCCGAACGAAGTTGAATATATATGTGGTGCTGTAATATCACTACTACTACTACTAATACTACTACTACTACCATTTGATGCTATGTGCAATGAAACTTCCCTATATAGTAAATATAAATTAAAGAAATATTTTTATCAGAATATAGAAAGAATAAAAATTCATATTGATTTTTCTTTAATCAACAATGATACGATTGATTGGTTTATACAATGAAATTCAATAAATTGACAATCATGATGACAATAATCATCGCATTTGACCAAGAACAGAGAAAATCCAGAACTATTTTGAATGTTTGGGTATGATTGAATTCATTTCCTTCCATACTAATATACGTAACTCATGTCTTCTTTGTGATGATCTAAGTTTATCTAGTGCTTTAAGCGGGGGGGGGGGGGGGGGGGGGGG